ATGTCCCTCACACACATGACAATGTCCCTCCACGCACATGACAATGTCCCTCCACACACATCATAATGTCCCTCCATGCACATGACAATGTCCCTCCATGCACATGACAATGTCCCTCCACGCACATGACAATGTCCCTCCACAACATCACAATGTCCTTCCACATATATCACAATGTCCTTCCACACACATCACAATGTCCCTCCACACACATCACAATGTCCCTCCACACACATCACAATCCCACCACATTAATACACTCTACTTAGAAGCAATCTATCCATTTCACCACATTAGGCACCATGTATTCATATGCATTATTACACACCTTTAACTCTGCTGTACTTTGTGCCATTCTATTCATTGTTTCACCTAACGTTCTAGAAAAATCTTGAGCTCCACCAGCGGCAGCACCTGTGAATGATCAAAAATGTCATATAGTACAGCACTGGAACCCACACATAATATTCATGATTGAAAGTATCAGTAAATAACATTTACGTTGAGAAATAATTTTTTCTTGTACAGTTCACTTAAAATGAATTTAATTTGATTAACTTGTTCATGAAGCTCAAAAGAAGCTTAAACTGTGAAATAGCATCAATTACATCATGGAAGGTACTAACGGAAGGAGCCACGACGCCTTTCAAGTGGCCGCTTAAGCTTATTAACAGGCTTATTTTCTTTTGTTTCAACCCAAGTTAATCCTGATGAGGACATTGTCTAGCTCATCTTTGAGGTCCATGATAGTTTGCGATTGTTTACACAAGTAACGCATTATGAAACTACGGTCATCACATATGCGCACTCGGTTGGTTTATGTGTGAAAGGTCAAAATACGTATTTCACAACCGGAAATTCAACAGATGAACGTTTGACTTTACAGATTTCACATGTTTTAGTTATTAGCAACTGTAACAAGAACAAGATTTCGAGTGTCTACAACAAAAATTGACAATGACTCCTAAAAAATATTATCACAGAGAAAGTGTCTAGGTATGCCCTTCTTTTGATACTATCTTTTCTGGTGGTGTTCGCCGATGCCCGGTGGTCGAAAATTTCAATAGTTTCGGGCGTCAAACCCACGCAATGACAATGGTTCCATTGAATAATGCAGTCGTTATTATCACAGGCAATCATTGATTAAGTCTCATCACTGTTACAAATACAAAAAGATTCACGATAGTTCATCAGTTCTTCTCCAATCGATGTTATATCTGCTAATTTTTCATTAAAGTTCGCCAAGATCTCCGTAAACAAATTCAAACTAGATGCCATTTTCAGCATTTTACATGCGAGGTTCCTCTATCGCTTCCGAACAAGCTCCGAATATTACCGAATGCTCGAGACTAGCGTAACCCATTGTACAAAGGTGTTAAGAGCTAACAGAACCAATGTTTGTGAACAAACATTGACAAACGATCATGGGGCAAAGCTAAAACAATAGCGTGGTGGCTCCTTCCATTAGTACCTTCCATGATTACATGCAGCAAGGATAATGTTTTTGTTTTTAATAGAATGAAACACTGCACAGTAAAGGTAATGGTAATACTTATGATTGTGATATCATTTATAGCTTTGCATTCCAAAAGTTGTTATAAGTGATGTTTCTGGTTCTAGTGTGTAAGTAGGAAATGTTATATTCATTATTGCCACTAACCCTCAAATGGTGGATCACTGCTTGCTGCTCCAACTAGTTTTTCTAGTTGTTCTTTTAACTGTGGATCTTCTTGTTGTTTATTTATGTCAGCCATCAATGCTTCCATGGCTTTGTCAAAATCAGATGTCACAGAAGGGTCAACTTGGTTGCCAAGCAAATTACTAAGTAATACCTGAGGATCTGGAGTAGCAGTGTCTGTACTCTGTGAAAATAAATAAATATCTGATTGATATATTATTCGTGATAAATACAGACAGTAGTAATTGGCATGGGAATTCTTACATGGTGCAGAACACAGTTCAAGAATACTCAATACCCACATTTGTCATATCATATTTAATATGTGACCCACACAATGTCTATATAGCAAAAACGTAAGTTTGAACTTGAAGGCAACAACTGAGGTGCTTAAACATAGTGGTACCGTTATAATAGTAAACACAGTGACAATAAACCAGCTATAATTTAAATTTTGACTTCTTTTGAGCAGCAGCAAAACCCAAGCTTTACAAGGTGCCATCTTGAATCTCATTCAACTTGAGCATACACCACTAGTCTGACATACTGGTGTGAGGAGGCCCTCGACGGCCAAATGGCATCAGACATCACTAACGCCTGACAGAATAGTGTACCTCTCATCTCAGACACTATCGCATCTCATACATGTATTCCATTATTAACCTTACACACTGAAGTGAATGTGTAAATGAAAAATAGATTCTCACCTCTGGAACTTTCATAGAATCTGCCTTCATCGTCGGAGGAGGAGGAGGAGTAGCAGTTTGACATTTGTCAAAATCTTCAAGTGCATCTAAGAAGAATAGTAAATATGAATTAGAATATTCTGCTTCATGGAATAAATTATTAATAATTAAGATTCAGAAATTGTTTTATCGATCTAGTGATTTGTGAACAACACTCAGAAGTGACCTGTGTAAATTTACATTCAATTTGTCCCAATTCACATCATTTGTCCCACAAATTGATTCAACTAAAAGCTATTTAAAATAATTTGTCTTAATCCTATTGGCTTTAGCATCATAGTACAAAATAGAAATAACATGCCAAACCATTTATTGTTGAAACAAAACAAAAACCTGACAATAAAAATTACAAATCAACTTGTATGTACATGGTGAACATGAACAATTTTATGCTAGGTATCAACATATTGTGCTTACAAGTTACTACGAATGTACATGAAGCATTATTAGCTTACACATTCCAGTGATCTCAGGTAGGTGAGTGTTTTCCCATTCCTGACCTCATCTAGTAATTTTGTTTTCTCTTCAAGGATCTAATCTCATTTGGACTCACGAAAAATGTTGTAAGATTTGTCAAGAATATCCAAGATCGGTATTTCTACGTCAAATGTGTCAAACAGTTATTCAATGACCTAGAAACAATCTGTGGACTTGTGGGATTTGACATGTGACACGAATCGGCTTGAGACAAATGTCATTTGAGACAAATCGACCGCCAGCCAACCATGTAGCGTGACAAGTAGTGCTTCGATTTTGATTAAAATGTTTCTGTGAAAACACTCGACATTTTAAAGCGCGGTAGTCTCATATAAACAAAGATGGCGACTTTGACTGATGCGCAGATCAACGAATACGAACTGACACGTTTCCAAGCTGTAATTAGGTAATTTTCATGTGATTGGAAGGTATCGAAGGAGTCACCGGCGGCAATCAGTGCAGGTCGTGCCAAGGTCAACCCTCATACTTGTGATGTCCATTTGAAGAGCGCATTGGATTGTGGGCAAATCAATGATTATCAACATAAATGTCGAACATGCGCAGCGCGACGACTACCGCGCTTTAAGCCTAAATCTGTCATTTTATTGAAATTATTCAAATATTTAGATAAAAATCTGATCTAGAAATGACTACATCATACCTACATGTGTGATTTCATATTTCGATTGACAATGGGCTTTGATTCGACTAAACAGTTAGATCATGAAGCTCCATGGTTAGATACATGTAGTATAACTGTTCCCACATGTTCAGTCGAACTAGACTGTACTATGACCTTGTTGATAACAGTGACACGGTTACTCGTGACAATTATTCCGTGTGTAAAATCATTGATGCGTATTAATGCTTACTATCTAAGAGATCATCAAGCTCCGGGTCTTCGATTTCTTTTTTTGAGACTTGATCTGTTTCTAATGCCGCCGAGGTACTATTCGTTTCTTCAACGTTTTTCGTAACTCCATCAAATTCGTGCGTATCTCTGGACGCCGCCATTATTGTGATATGTTTGGTCGTTGAGTCTTTTCGTTTTACTTGACGACCACGCCATCAACGACGAACTCGAAATGCGAGTACACCATGATTAACACATTGTGATATGATTTTTTATTAAAATAAAACCCTTGTCTTGGCATAACACATAGAATTATTGCGTCCATATTTTAAAAAACATTACAACTTAAAGGGCGGCAGTCGTCGTGCCGCGTCCTGTTCGATATTGGACTCACAGCTACGTATACAACGCGTGTACATGGAATTTGAACACGCGCTGCGCGACGACCACCGGGCTTTAAGGTAGACGCCTACCATGAATTCAAATACTCAGAATGTATACTTGTACTTCTATGCAATATAAAAATATTGACCTAAAAAAGTTGAGGGTCACCAACTTAATTTTCGAGAAAATGATGGTTGTATTTTAGTGGAAAGTGGCCATTTTGGCAGTATTATAGTGCTTTTACTATAGGTACAATTTGTAGGCTGGTGACATAGGCCGAATAAATAATATATTGTTAATGAAGAGGTACTTTTTATTTTCCTGAATTATTTAAAAAATCTGAGTTTTAAAAAGTGTCGAAAAATACACTTTTTACAACACTGTGCTCTATAGAATTGTTCTAAAAATAGGAATTTTTAATACACCTGTAACCCACGAAATAATGCTATTTCATGGTGCCATGAGACACTGCTTCACGATTTTACACAATAAACCAATGAACATTGTCATGCAATTTATGCAACTTTCTCAAAAATTATGATTTTATGTTTTCATTGTGGTCTATGGAAATTGGTGTTAAATGGCATTTTATGCATATATTATTTTACCATTTTTTCACACACACAAAAAAACAGATTGACAATGAACCGAAAAAAGTTCACATACTGTTAATTAATAAAAACGATAAATTGTGGACAGATTTTGACGCGATTTGTTGTCAATGCTATATGCACAGTGTGAAACAAAACAATCGTTAGTAGCATTCACCTTAACCACTCACGAGCGAACAAATCATAAGTCAGTCACAGTACAACTTGTTACCGTAATGTTTTATCAAGATGCAATATTAAACAAAATTATTTAAACATAGTTCGTCATTTAACTACACATCAAATGAATAACACCACAGTAACAAGTGACTTCCACTCGTCTGCAATATAGCAGAAATTCGTGGCTTCGTTTAAAATAATTAATACGACATTCATCGCTTTTATTTTTAGCCCAAACCGCCCAAAGGTTTCACAATCCGATGTTTGCGTACACGAGGCGACGCAAATAAGTCATATGTCACAATCAAAAACCAAGGTATAAACCATTTTTAAAACATACGCAATCACTCTTCCTTGCAGAGTCATCGTGACTTAGGGAGCCACAGAGAGCCGCACTTGTGAGACGTTTCCTAGAGACTACCTAGCTTAGTGATAAAAGACCCATAGTCTTCGCGACAAAGAATGATACTCAATGACAGCTCCGTAAACATTTAGCAAAAATTAAATTCTTGATAATCACATGTCATTCATGAATAATACTACCATTCCTATAAAAAATAAATGGATGGCATGTTGATCTTGGACACTCTAAAAACACTATACAAAGACAGTTATCGCTGGATCATATCAATCTCTAAGGAATTGTCTGAAATAAGGGCAGTGGTCGTCGCGCCATGCATGCGCGAGATGTGAGTCTAATATGAACAAAGATGGCGATTTCGACTGTTGCGCCAACCACAGTCCCTCAACACTCAACACCGTGTTGAGGGACTGTGCGCCAATGAGTACAAACTGCGACGTAACCTACAATCCGACACGATCTGATATGGACTATAACATGCACAACAAACATGATTATTGTGCACTGTATGTGGATTTTGTAATTTTTTTCGGTACACTACAGATACTAACAGGTTAATAAGGTTTATCAGCTATCATAAAAACTAAATTATTTAAACACACTTCTTCATTTAACTACACATCAAATTATTTGCATAGTTTTGTTGTTTGTTTTAAAAGGGCGTTGGTCGTCGCTCAGCGGTTCTTCAGATTTCATGTAAATCAACATGCATTTTACTCAAATACGTCATACATCGATCAACCAATCATGAGCGAAACGGGTCACCAATAAACAGGAAGTAGTAGTAGTTTGAGTGACATGTCTCAACAGGAACGTCACCGGGCAGTTTCCACGTAATGCCGCATGCATGAGGGCGTTTACATGCTATAACAGTCTCTCGAGCCTTACGGCCCTCGCTTGAAATGCATTCGGCATTTCGTTAACACGCATACAGCGTTTGAAAATAGGTGACTTTTTATTAGGCCCGAGAACTGTCGACAGTCTATGTACGTCGCTATGAGTCACATATTGAACAGGCAATGACGAGAATATGGCACAGAGACATACATATCATTATATCTCGACTCACCACATCCAACAATGTAAAACATATACACCTTTATGTCAAGTGATGTCATGCATATGCAGTCCAGTGAACCATTTATCTACTAACAAGACCAACTACTGTGAAAGGGATTAATTATTCACTGGGTTTTAATTTTGCTTATTTTGCTGACTGGAAAATGCACTAAATTAAAACCCAGTGAATATGTAAAATTTAGCATAGAACATATTATCTAATGATAAAACCATGAATTTAAAACCCACTGAATATGCCTGAAATGGTAAATCAGCGAAATTTTAAACCTTGTGATAATTAGTCATTTTACTAAATGAAAAAACAAACTGAATTAACGTTTTCAAAAAGCCAACAGGGTCTGTAAAAGTTCGAACCACTGGGACTGGGACAATGTGACTAACATTACCAAGAAAAAATATGTCTATTTCAAAAACCTTCAGCAAAACTGAATAATGCAATCATAAACAAAAATAATTCGCACGCCGACCGCCCAGGTAAAAAATGTGACAACAAAACCGGAAACCTTTCCATCGTACACTACTGCACGGACGTGCCCGGGGGTAAGTCTAATCCTTTATAGCAAAGCACGATAAAATATTCACAAGCACATTGAAATTAAGGATTAAAATATATAATACACCAATCATTTGTTCCTTGGCAACGACAGTAAACAGCGTCCGGATTACTTTCGGAAATTCCGTCGCTCTTCGGAAAGTTTTAATTTTCACAACTTTTGAATATTAATTCATACTTTTAGGTTAGTGAGGAGGTTATAATAATTTTTCATTTCACTTTAACTCTGTTTTTTTCACCCCTCAGACCCCTTTAAAAAGTCACTTCTGGCCATTGTAATGGCCACTATTTTTTTTAATGGCCAGAATATCAACCAGAACTTTTTTAATGGTCAAAA